GAGATGCTCAAACAGATCGGATTATGTCGCACACCCATACTTTTTCAGAGGTTCCCAGGAGACATCTGTTGGTCTGAAAACTCCCCAGCATTTGAGAGGATACCATTGGACCTCTTTTCTGGGGAGAATACTTGTTCAGGAGAAATTTCACTTAGGTGGAGACAAAATTTCCTCCCAATAACCAAGAATCATGGAAATTTTCCTGAATGCAGATCAGCCCTGGATCAGGGGTCAGTTTAACCAAACTATGAATCCAAGTTAAACAACATTTAAGTAAGCAAGGCACAAATGGTCAATATTTAATCTTTGTTACATACCCCGCCACTCCACAGCATGTAGCTCTAGTAACTCCAGAGAACCTCTCCCCACTTTGAGAGGTCGGGGCAAGTGGATTGCCTGAGCCCGCGGGTTCGAGACCAGCACGGACAACATGGTGAGCCCTCATCTCTACGATAAATCAAAAATAAAAATAAAAAAATTAGCCGGGCATGGTAGCATGCGCCTGTAGTTCCGGCTACTCAGAAGACTGAGGCAGAAGAATCTCTGGAGCCCAGCAGGTTGACGTTTGGTGGCCATGAGTGTGCCACTGCACTTCAGCCTGAACGACAGAGTGAGACTCCAACTCAAAAAAAAAAAGAATATTTGCTCCCCAGTGTCCAACAAACATCTCTAATCCTTAGCCCCTGGACTTGGACTGCAGCGCCCCCGGCGGGCAACCAGCTATTTGAGTTTTCCAGTCTCATTTTCACCTGGGCGACATCTCACCTAACCAGCCGTTCTGCTTTTTCACCTTGTCTCTCAGGTGAAGGAGGCCATGCAGCGAATCCATGACCGAGGGAACATTGGCAAGTTAATTCTGGATGTAGAAAAGACCCCGACTCCACTGGTGAGTGAAAAGCAGCAGAATCTGTTCAATTCAACACAAGAGATGTACCAAGGGTCGATTAGGTATAGGCACACGTGGGGTGGCAGGAAATACAGGTCAATTGTGGACTAGCGGAGGAGACCAGGGGTAACCAAATGATTCCACAGATGAGGGATTCATCACAAACCAACATGAATGCTAAGAAGGGAAGGTGAATGCTGCAGTGAGAGCATTTAATGAGCAATCTGAAGGCGTAGACAGGAAGTGATAGGAAAAGTAGTCCTATTACAGGTGCCATCTCTTGGCTGCCACCAGTGGGAGAAATTCCTGATAAATTTCAATAAGTTAACATTCACGTTCCTAGCAGAATAATGCCAACTGTCTCTGAGAGGCTTCCTGATGGTTCCATTGATTTTGTCTTGTTTTACACCCTTATACCCAGGGGGTACCAGCAGGAATAGAGTACGTCCAACTCACATCCCATCTGCTCTTGCCAGGGCCGCTTGAGGAGGGACTGTGTTGTGTTTTAGTCAATGCACAGGCTATCAGACTGCGTGGATTCAAGCCCAGCTCTGAGCCTCTGTCTGTATCTGGGGCAAGTTACCTGGCAACTCAGCTTCAGTGCCCCATCTGTAAATTGGAGATTGATCAACTCTCGCAAGTCAGTTAGAATGGCATTCCTAAAGCATTGTCTGGTAAATACGAAGTTCCAGGTCATGTGTAACAAAGAAAATATTTAAGAGGGGTGTTTTGTTTCTTTGTTTACACTCATGTTGAGTCTTGGAACTATAACAGTCCTTTATAAAAGAGCAAAAACCTAAAATTTCTTGCATATTTTAGTCTAAAGAGTGTGTTTTTTTTTAGAAAGCAATACTTTTTTTGACTTTTGGAACCATCATGTAGTTTAAGTGCGTGACGGCCATTTCACTCAATGAAGGACAATTTAATAAGAGGGCATCTTACAATGTCTAAGTGATTAATTACAATATGTATATAGCTTATTAAATGCTTACTAAGCCCAGGACTGTTGGAAGGTCTATGAGGGGACAAAGTTAGGGAAGAGAAAGGGGCCAGGATGCCAGTCTTCCTTGCCCCTACATGGTAGTTCTTAAACAGGTGACCAAGTCTGTTTCAGCCCCATCTGTAGCAGGCCTACAGAATCCAGATCCATTCTGACAGTTTATTGCTTTTAAGCAAAACAGGTGACACCAGCTTCCCACTGTGATGCCTGCCCTCATGACACATGAGATGCTGCTGGGTCCTCAGGCAAATAGGAAGGATTGTCTGGCTAAGGGGGGATTCTCACCCGAGCAGGTGCTGACCAGCCCACCTTTCAGGGCAAGAGCTCGGGAGCTATCTTGGGATATGTCATTGTCCTTCTGAACCTCCTGAAGGCTTTGGGACCTAAAGAGACAGTGGAGACTGGGTATTAGGAGCATCCGTGTGATGGGGAGGAGGCCACGACCCGACTAAATGGAGGAACAGACTTGAAGGAGAGTCGAGATAAACGGAGGGCACCGGAAGATCAGGGGTAGATCCAGTGAGGACAGTTCTAGAGTCGGTACCTGATGGAAGAGGAAACAGCAACCAACTCCAGGCTCTGCAGGGTGTCGCTCTCCCCTCAGCAGGTGTTGACGGAGGGAGCCTCTCCTGCCCAGAACCTCCTCGCAACTAGGCTGGGCTAACATGGAGTGTGTCATGGGGTCAGAGCAGAGGCAGAGCTGCTGCCTCCCGACCCCACAGAACCAGAGGGCAAGTCTGCCCTGAATCTAACCATCTGGCCAGTGCCCAGAGAATGAGAATGGCCTCATCTGAAGGCTACTGACTTCTGCCTCCCCCACAGCTTCTGTGGTAACATCACCTCAGGGTCCATTATTGCTGTAAATAGAACTAACAACAATAATTATTATTATTGCTACTACGTCATAGAGCCACTGAGAAGATTAAAAGGGGTAATGACTAGGCTGGGCGCAGTAGCTCATGCCTATAAGCCCAGCACCTTGAGAGGCCAAGGCAGGAGGATTGCTTGAGCTTAAGAGTTTGAGAGACCAGCCTGGGCAGCATAGCGAAACCCCATCTCTACAAAAAAAAAATTAAAAAGTAGCCAAGCATGGTGGCATATGCCTGTAGTCCCAGCTACTCGGGAGACTGGGGTGGAAGGGTCGCCTAAGCTCAGGAGATCAAGGCTGCAGTGAGCCGTGATCAGGCCACTGCACTCCAGCCTGGGCAACAGAGACCCGGACTTAAATAAATAAATATACACACTTTTAAAATAAAACAAAAGGGGTAATGTGTGGGAGGTACCAGCACATTGATGAATATGTGATATGCACTACTAATGGAGTGTTCTCATGGTTAGTTATTCATGATTCTATAAGTATTTCTTGCAAACGTACCTCATTGCAGGAAAGAAAACTAGAGAGACCTGACCCTCTCCCATGGTGCCTACAGTTCAGTGAGGGCAGATGGACGTTGGTCAACGAGCCGCACATATAAATGGGGCAGTGCAGCTGTTGACCTGTGCTGCAAAGACGAGGCACCGGGCCACGAGAACTTGTCATAGGAGGATTGTTCCAGTTAGGGAAGTCTGGAAAGTCAAGGAAGTAGGCTGCGCCCTGAAGAAAGAGCAGGCATTAAGTAGCCAGAGGGGACGGAGGGATGGCACCCCAGGAAGAAAGCACTACATGTTCAAGGGCTCAGAGAGAAAGTCCAAGCCCAGGTAAGACAGCACAGCTGGGCTGAGATTTGGGGACCGAGTTCAGAAGGGGACATGGGGAAACAGAACTCATACACCCTGAGCCTCTATCATGTGCTTAGACCTTGGCTAGATACTTTATATACATTATTTAATTTTCTTTCACCTGGTTCTTATATCAACTTGGTAAGGTGGGTGGGTTGTCCCCCATTGTAGTGATGAAGGAAATGAAGATTCAGAAGGGTCATCATAACTGCCAGGTGCAGAAACTATATTCTAGTGGGGGAATATAGACAGCAAAGTAAATAAACATGCGTTTGACTGGGTGTGGTGACTCGTGTCTGTAATCTCACCACTTTGGGAGGCCGAGGTAGGAGGATTGCTTGAGCCCCGGCGTTCAATACCATCCTGGGCAATATAGCAAGACCCTGTTTCTACAAAAAAGGTATGTTTTTTTAATTATCCAAGTGTAGTGGTGCACACCTGCAGTTCCATCTACTTGAGTGGCTGAGTTGGGAGAATCCTTTGAACCTAGGAGGTGGAAGCTACAGTAAGCTATGATGGTGCCACTCACTCCAGCCTGAGCGATAGAATGAGACCCTGACTCTAAAATGAAAACAACACACACGTTTGTTAATGTTGTTTCTGCTCTTACTAAGTGACAGCATTAGGGCTTGAACCCTGGTATCCCTCCCACGTCCCTTGGCACTCAGTTCTCCTACATGCCACGGACTTCCTTTGCCAGCACCGGCCTCTCTTTAACTAAGAGCCAGTTCTGGCCACCGCAGCATGCTTGGTTTATGCACAGAACCTGCCAGGGATGCCTGGGAGATAACCCACCTCCCTGAGAGTAGCTCTCAGCCATGCCCCGGCTTCCCCACCCCTCAGGAGGGTAAACTCTGAGGCATGTCCCTCGTGGTCTTCCAGAGGTGCCCAGCAGGACTGGGTCAGCTGCCCCAGTATATACCCTGAGTTGGCTTCCTTGTATTTTCTGTCTTACTTCCTCTCTCCCCTGCTATTGTTTCCTGTGATCACTTCCCAACCTCCAAGTATTTGCACTCAAACCCCCCTCTCAGAGTCTGCTTCTTGGGAATGCCCAACACAGGACAGCTCATCCCACACTGCCTTCCAAGCAAGCAAGCAACTCTGGCTCCTAGTCCCCAAGAAGTCCTCCCATGGGTTTTGTCAGGTGCTCAGAGAAGGAAGGGGCCAGATCCATCCTCTGTTGAATTACAGATGGCCAACGACAGCACAGAGACCAGCGAGGCAGGGGAAGAGGAGGAGGACCACGAGGGAGACGGTGAAAACAAGGAGCGGATGCCCTTTATCCAGTAATCCAGGACCCAGGTGGGAGAGAGTAAAGGATGGCTTGGAAGAAGATGACTCAGCTGAGAAAACTCTTCTGTGCCCCAGTGAACAAATGCTATAGTCCAGTGTGTGTTGTATTTGTCTGCAGTCAGCTGAGCTAAAAAAAACAAAAACAAAAAAAGCTGTTGATCACTGTTGTTTTATGAAATTAAGTGCCAATCTCATTCCATGCGGTATTATGTCCCTCCCCGTCCTGTGTGTGACATGTTCCTCCTGCCGCTGTATCAAAACCATCCATCTGTGGGTCCTTCTCAACGGTTCCAGGACAACCTCGCAAATTAAAATGAGGCCCAACGCTTAAGATAAGTTTGGGTTAAAAGGTGTTATTATCACAGGACCATCCAGGTCCTAGAATTCTTCAGGCCAATGACGCTTTTTTGCTGCCAGCCACCCAGGTCTCTGATAAGGTCATTTGCCAATGTGGCCAGCAGAAAGAAGGTAGGCCAGAAGACATCTTCATGAGTCCATAAATTTAGAAACTCTCCAAATAGTATTTTTTCTCTCTCCATGGAAGAGGCAACTTCAGCCAAAATATTTGAGCCGCTTTGATTTGAGCCTCTTTTCTCTGACTGTCTGGTATGTGTTTGAGCCCTTCGCTGATTTTTACTCATAAACACAGGGAGGCAGGCATGGGTTTTTCAGGGTAGAAGAAGGGTCTGCAGCGTGAGCGTGAGGACCAGCCACAGAGATTTCTCCTCCCCAAAACCTGCCTCATCAGCCGAATCCTTCCCCCAGCCATGCTTACTTTAAGTTTAGGAAAACTCACCCCATACAGGACTCAATCAGAAGTCATTGCTGAGATTTACTTGTGTCTGCACATTTGCCATCAGCATTACCAATTTTGTTATTTTCAATTTCTGGTAGTAAGTGGCCACCCTAACCTTGGATCACCCAAGGAAGAGCCCCCTTACAGACCACAGATGGAAAAAAAAAATCAATAAGTATTTTTTTTCTTGCCAAAGCGTGTTCCAACACATAACAAATTCTAGTGTTACAAAACGTTGAAAGTCTGATGTGCAGTTCCTTCCCTCCAATATGTAAACCCATGGTGCAAAATATGTAGCACCTTTGCTCTCGGGAAACCAGGGACCAAGCTACTTGCTTGCACACCTTGTTCAATTTTCCATCTCCTAAGAGGCCCCACCCCCATACCATCTGACCAGACTTGAGAGATAAATACAGTTACCCTCAAGGAAGAGAAAGAGTCTCAATGTCTCCCCAACAGAATTCCTCCTTCGCTGTTTCCGGTCCTTTTAGCCAAAAGAGTTAACTCCGTCACTCACAAACCAAGCCTGAAACACAAGAAGCCCATGCGATTAGCGCCTCAACTTCCTTCGTGTTCTGGAAAACATCAGAGGGTTCCCACATTTTTCAATTTCTCCACCAACAAGCCCACCTTTGGGTGGACCCAACTCTTTCCCCAAGTGACAGGAATAAATACATCTCAGCAGTTATCTGTGTGATTTCCAAAATCCCTTTGTAAAAAATGTCACCTCGTCCATCATGTTCTTTTTTTCGATCCTAAGCTTGTGATGATAACATATTTATGCCAAATATTTATCTGAAAGAAGTTTCTCCTCATTGTGAATGTATGTGTAAACTATGAAGACAAGAAAGGGTGCTGCCATCAGATGAGCCAAGGGATGGGAGAATTTCAAAAGAAACCAACATCATCTTCTCTTTCTACCCAAGGGCTCACTAATATTCCCGTTCTGGGCCATCGAGAGAGATCATGGGGTGATTATGCTCTCATTACCTTTGCTAAGTGCTATATTACTGGCTGTGTTTCTCCCATAACCATGCTAAAAAGGAGGTCTTAAGAAGAACTGCTATCCAAGGGACATCCCTAGTAACCTGGCAAAAATGGCATTTTCCAGGGTTAGAGGAGCAAAGAGCCACTGGTCATATTCTAGGACTCTCCATCTCTAGGGTGGTGGGAACTTGACATTCAGAATCTAACTGGTCTTTGTTATGTCTAGAGGTAAAGCGTAAAAAGTCATTGCTCCCCAAATCTGTTTGTTGTTTTTTTTTTTAACTAGCAACGTTAATCCAATAATCACAAATACGCCAGTTAGCTACAGAAAACCCTTTCTTCTCCTCAGAATACAGAATGAGAAAACTAGAGTTTGACCAATAAGATCCATTTCTGCCATGAAGAATGGGGGAAAAATAAAATATTAAAATTTAAGCACCTTCTTTCCCGTCTCTTGTTTGTTTTTCTGAAGAAAGTGTAAAGAACGTCTCAGTCTGCCTTAAAGGGACTGTGAAGGCTTTTTTGTAATTTAAGCTTGATTGGAGTGAACCGAAACATTGTCTAATGTCTTTGTGGCTTTAGAGCTTTTGTTATATTGTGCCTACAAAGCAAATTATGTTTACATAAAAAATATAAATAAAGTATTCAGCATAGCAAAACCTCACCTGGCATCTGTTATTACACATAAATCATTTTTTGATAAATGGTCCTACTATGAATATTCAAGGAATGGGTAACAGAAAAAGGAATAATTGACTGGGCATGGTGGCTTACACCTATAATCCCAGCACTTTGGGAGGCTGAGGTGAGAGGGTTGCCTGAGCCCACAGGTTCGAGACCAGACTGGGCAACTTGGTGAGACCTCATCTCTACAATAAATCAAAAAAATTAGCCGGGCATGGTGGTGCATGCCTATAGTTCCACCTACTTGGAAGGCTGAGGCAGAAGGATCACCTGAGCCCAGCAGGTCGAGTCTTTAGTGACCGTGAGCTTGTCACTGCACTTTAGTCCAGGCAACACAGTGAGACTCCAACTCAAAAAAAAAGGAAAAATTTAAAATGTGATAGAAGTGTCTCTAGATGAGAAACTAAAAACTTCATGCAGAAAATAGGGGTCAACATGAAAAAAGCCTTTAGAAAAACATTCAGTTTCACTCAAGCTAGAAAGTAAAACCACAGATAAAAAGAACTATTAAGAACATCACATAATAAGTGATGATGACAACAATGGTGATACAGATAATAATAATAATAATAAAACAACAATTATAGTGGCAAAAATTTATAAGGCACCTACTATATGCTACTAAAAGAATTGTATGTGTATTAATTCACTTATACAGGTGACAAGCCCTAATAGGTAAGGTCTAGCATTAGGCCCACATATAGGTGACAAGACTGAGGCACAGGAACTTTTACACTTGCCTAAGATCACACACTAGTGACAGAACCAGGACTCACCAATTTCAAGTCATGTTTCACTGCTAGAATCTATGCTCTTAACCACCCTATCGTGCTGCCTTGAATCTTAAATACGGGTAAAATGCAATACATTTCAAATGGTCATCCTTTGCTCACCTGAAACTCTTTAGGGATTCTGTCTCCTCTGACTTCAAGGATATGCTTGTAAATTTGGTGTGCGTTGTTGCAAATAATATGCATGTCAACAAGCATCTTTTGGGGGTGGGGATCTGGCCCTTCATCCAAGTGTTCAGGGAAGGGCCTGATTTGAAAACTCACACATCTCATCAACAATTTTCATTTTCATCATCTAAAACCCTGAAGGTTATGAAGAGATACACAAAAGTAAATCTCCCAGGGCTGGGATTTCACAGAAGAGGAATCCATTACTGGGGGGTAGGAGGGAGGCTGTGCTATATTTTACTATATTTTTCAGCAGGAAGCCAACAAAATAGAGTCAGGATGCATGTCGATAAAACACCTCATGTATAAACCTGAATTAACAAAGTAGAAAAGTTAGTGAAAATTTATTGTCAGTGAATTCTTATGAAGTCACATTGTATCAAGAATTTTCTCATACGTTCTTGCTCGTTGTTCACGTTCTCTGTATAAGTCCCGTAGCTGCACCTAGCCAGTGTGGGTGATGTGTCACATTTAAACACAGCCCAGCCACAAAAACTGGAATCCAAACTAAAATCCATACGTTCACTTATAACTCTGAGAATGAGAAGGTGGTCTAACAGCAGTTGGAAACAAAATATTTTTGATCAGTTTGCAGGAGATCAGGGTAGTAGTGGAGGTAAACGTTTCAGAAGTCATTAGGGGCACACAGAACATTTGTGTAAGACCAAGGAGATGAGAAATTTGAAGAATAGAGTTGAAGTATGAGATTGTGGGGATGGAGTGGCATAGGAGAGAAGCACAATGGGAAATTGGTGCTGGTTTAAGGGTCTCTGAAGGTGGTAATCTTGAATGTCCAAGGAAAGGAAGAAGGACATGCAATGATGTGACCTGAAAGCTTGATGGTGGAGGATATTTCTGAGGGTGAGTGCAGGGTTTAATGGGAGGAGAGCTGAGAGATGGGCCCAAAGGTAGTTAGGAGTCAGACAACAAATGCCTTGACTTCCTTTGCCCTGGTTTGAGTTCTCCAGAATCAGACACTGAAATAAGAATTTGAATGTAAGTCATTTTGGGGAGATGACCCAAGAAGCACAGATGGCTGCGGGGGAGTGGAGAAAAAGGGGAAGGAAGCTTATTCTGGGTATGTTGGTGAACAGGTCACCACTGTAGGACACTATAAGTGTGACCAGAATAGTCCCACTTGCAGGGTAAAGATGTGGTCATGTTTACCTATCAGTTCCCACGCATTGCTGTGGGGGAACTACTCCCAATAAGGGTGCTGATTCTCTGCCCCTCCTGTCTTGTCCCTTGTATGAACCGAGCATACTGCTGTGGCCAGTGGCCTCAGACAGGGAGCCACAAGAAGCTGTTGGTTTGTATGGCAGCAGTGAAAGGATATAGAAGCGGTGCCCACAACTTCTACTATAACTTGTCTTGAGCACTTACTTTGTTATCTTTAAGTCAAAGAGAGAAGCTTTTTAGGCTTTTCATAAACTATATTCCAGTTTTAGTAACCACTCCCAACTCCAACTATCCTGTTTATCTCACACCACTCCTTCCTTTTTTGCATTTTCTTTTGTTAATTGTTAGCTTCACTAAGAGAATAGTTTCAACTCAAACAAGACAGCCAAAATGCCTCGCCATCTCACCAGGATACATTAGTCCATTGGATCTTCCTACCAAATGTCAAGCCTCTTTTTCATTGGGACAAAAAAAAAAAAAAATCTGTGGCTCTGTATTACACAGTACCACATGTTTATTCAAGGCATTTTTTTTTTTTTTGAGTTGGTGTCTCACTCTGTCACCCAGACTGGAGTGCAGTGGCACTCTCCCAGCCACCGCAGCCTCAACCTGCTGGGCTCCGGCGATCCTTCCGCCTCATCTTTCCAAGTAGCTGGAACTACAGGTGCGCCCTACCATGCCCGGCTAATTTTTTGATTTATTGTAGAGATGAGGTCTCGCCAAGTTGCCCAGGCGGGTCTCGAACCCGCGGGCTCAAGCAATTCACTCACCTCAGCTTCCCAAAGCGTGGGATTACAGGCTGAGCCACCGAGCCCGGCTTATTCAAGGCATTTTTCATGAGTATTTACTAGGCACAGGATCCTGTTCTGTATCCTAGAAATAGAAAGAAAATAAACCAGGCATGGTGGCTCATGCCTGTAATCCCAGCACTTTGGGAGGACAAGGCGAGAGGATTGCTTGAGCCCAGGAGTTCAAGACCAGCCTGGGCAATATAGCGAGACCTTGCCTCTACAAAAAAATTTAAAAATTAGCCTGGCATGAAGGTGCACACCTGTATCCCAGCTACTCAGGAGGCTGAGATGGAAGAATTGACTGAACCCAGGAGGTCAAGTCTGTGGTGAGCTATGATTATACCACTGCACTTGAGCATGGAAGACAGAACGAGACCCCAGAGAGAGAGGGAGAATTAAAGTACTTAAAGCACACAGTATAGTGCCTGGCACACAGTAAGCACTCAACATTAGCTTCCTTTTTCTAGACCCATTTGCCAATACAGGAAAGAATGAGATATTTGGGAAATACTCAGTAGCTCCCATCTTCTTTTTTTAAACAACGAGACTCTATAGATCTCGATACTGTACTTCCAGATTTGTTTGTGGGAGGAAAAAAATAAATGTTTTTACATTCTCTGCCATGAGCAGAATGAGCAGAACAACTATTACCAGCCAAGCAAAGATGCCGGGAAATATGTCCCAGAGTTATTCAAATTGGCACTCAAATACCCAAACAAAGGAGAAATAAGGACAACAGAAATATCAGCACAGCACAGGCATGTGTACCCACAGGAATGAAGAGCGTAAGCCTTGGAATCTTTCAAATCAGGGAGCAAATTTGGGCAATTTGCTTGCCGTCTGAGCTTCCCCCTTTTAAAACAGAGATGATCATATTGTGTATGTTCTAGAAGATCAAATGTAACAGTGCATGTGTAACCTTATTGAAAACATAACCCACACATTCCAGTGCAAAAGCCACATTATGAATGCCTTCAAGACAAGGATTTTCAATTCATTCAGCAAAGACTGATCAAATGCAGAGCATGTTACTGGAATAATATGTGTAGTATCTTAGTTACAAAAATAAGATATGTATAGCCTCTGTCATCCAGGAGCTCATAGCTTAATGATGTGCTTTTAAAAAGTAAGTTTTATCTCCTGTGCAAATGGCAATTTATTTGTAGAGCCTGCCTTGGTTCTGAGAGCTTATGTGGGCTAAGTGGGAAAGAGTGCTGTAATTGATGAAAATGTCAATCAGGAACAGAGGACGAGAGACGTCTAGAAGCAACTGTCATTAGGCACATCAGTGGAGAAACACAAGGTAGTTCCATGGAACAGTCCACTTAGATATTGCATGCATCAAGAAAAGAGATAAGATATTGATAGGACCAGATTGTGGAAAGCCAAGAATTTCACTTCAAAGGTTCCGGATTTTGTACTAAAGTGGGGAGATTTGTCAAGGGATTAATCAGGAAATTGCTGAGAAAGGTCATAGGTAAGTAGCAGGCCATGGGAAATATTCTTCAAATGAACTTTACCATTTTACTTGATCCAGCTGTGGAAAGTGGAACAGATGGGGGTGCCATGTTAAAATAACAGTTCTTTGACCCATTTCCCAGTATCCACCCATAGTCTGTTTAGTCATGAGTTTAGGTGGCTACTAAATTGGCATGAGTAGGAGAAGCAATGAAACAAGGAGAGGATGGTGGGTCAGGCTTTACCTGAGGAACTGGGATGTCTTTTCCATAGGAGGCCCCCAGAAAGTAAATCACCCGCTATGGGAATCAAAACTAACACAGGACAATGACACATGTGACATGCTCATAAACACTCATAAATACTGGAATGGTTTTCAAAAACTGTTCCAGCTCAGATTCAGGAGCTTTCCATAGAGTAAAACCAAAATCAAGGCAAACCATGAAAACAAAACTCACATTTATTGAGGACTTACTCTTTGCCAGGCATTTTCCACATACCCTCACTAAATCACAGCAATACCTTGAAAAGTAGGCATCATCCCCACTAAGGATAAAGACACTAGATTTCAGAGAGACTAGGTGGCCTGCCCA